TAAAACAACACATATATCGTTAATTAATATTTGAGAAAAGAGGCAAGAACATACAGTGGTAAAGAAAGTCTATTCAATAAACGGTATTGGGAAAATTGGATAGAAAAACCAGCGCCTCTGCCGCCGGAGCGTCCTCCTCTGGCCCCAACAGCCCAGCGGCCAGAGCAGCTTCTGGGCCCAGCTGGGCGTGGCCCTGACCAGGGACAACCACCACTTCTACAACCGAAACTTCTGCCGGGGCCCCACCACGGCCGAGTAAGAGGCGGGGAGAAGTGGGGGGGCAGCCGGCACACCCAGCCCCGCCTCCACCGTGCCCTCTGCCTAGGATGCCCCAGCCTGCCTCGCTCTGCAGAGGGGCCGAGGCCCCTGGCATACAGCAGGCACTCAATAAATGCTCCTGGCAGGCCCACGGCTACTGGCTACGCTGAGCTCCGGAGGAAAGAAGGGGGAATTCCCAGGCCTCCTAACGGGGAGAGGGGCTAGAGGCGATTGGGGGTCTGCAGGGGAGGGAAGCTGCCGAGGGGTTGTGTTGCGGGGGAGGGGGGTTCTGCAGAAGCTCACGGAATGTGGTCTTTAAAAAAAAAATGGAATGCTTCACGAATTTGCGTGTCATCCTTGCACAGGGGCCATGCTAATCTGCTCTGTATCCTTCAGGTTTTAGTACGTGTTATGCCGAAGTGGGCACCGGAGCATGGTTTTGGCCTTCCCAGGAGCAGGCTGGGCCCCCTCCTCTGCGTCCCAGCAGTGCCAGCCGCCTCGGTGGCATATTGGCCTCAGGGTCTGTCTCCCTCGCCCCCTTCATTTCTTGCCACCAGCGTCCCCGGGTCCCAGGGCATGGGTGGTGGGGAAAGCCCCGTGGTGAGTCCAGAGAGGCCACTGCGCCCTCTGCTGGCCATGCCTGTGCTGTGCCCGGCGTGGCTGCCCAGGTTGGGAGAGGAAGGCCAGCGGCAGCAGCCCCAGGAGCAGGGAGCCACAGAGGGTTCCAGAGGGAGCTCCCCGCCCACCCCTTTCTGCTTCCCCCGGAGCACGTCTGGGGACAGCGAGGTGAGCCTCCACCTGTCGCCAAAGCTGGGCCCTCCCTGGACTCTGCCTCACAGCGGAGACCGAGACACAGCCACATGGGGTCAGAATGGAGTATGCAGTGCGTGCGCATGTATGTGCATCTGTGTGCATGTGCGTGTGTGCGTGTGCATGTGTGTGCATGTCTGTGTGTGTGTGCGCGCGCGCGTGTGCATGTGTGTGTGAATTTTGGGACACCACAGGGAGCCCCGACAGCCAGGGTCCCTACTGTGTGCATGCAAGAGCCGTGGGTCAGGTCAGGCCTGGAGCCATTGGGCGCTTCGTCCTGGGCCAGCTGCCTCCCCGTCCCCACAACCAAACCTGCGCTTCGGGCGCAGAGACGCAGGCCACCCAGCTAGGAGCCGGGCCCGGGCGGCAGAGTGGAACCAGCTTGACTGGCCCTGGCCAGCGTGGGTCTGCACGGCTGCTCAGGGCCCCACGGGAAGGCTGAGCTGGCCGCAGCCTTGGCTAACCTTGCAGCCTGACTGTGGACAGCCTGACTGACTGTGGGCAGCCCTGGGGTGGGCGGGCCTCTCCGCCCTCACAGCTGGGAGAGGATGGAGGCCACCCTCCTCTTTCTGACCTGGGCGCAGGGGCTGCTGCCTGGGCTGGTGCCTGTTCTCCGCTTGCTGACGGAGAAAGGAGGACCTGACCCACCCCCAGGAGCCCCACGTGGGCCCTGCCCTGTCCGGCGCTGACACCTCAGCTCCCGGAGGAGCAGGTGCAGGCCAGCGGCTGCAGGCTGCACTCCCTGGGCTCTGGTCTGGGCTGGCACCTCGGGGAAGAGGAAACAAGAACTGTCCTGCCCCAGGGCGGGCGGCTGGGGAGGCCCCTGCTGAGCGGCTCTGGGATCTGGGCAGGAAGCAGGCCCTGCCTGCGGGAAGCACAATTTGCCTGCCTCTCAGAACAGCTGAGTCTGCCCTGGGCCATCCCAAGTGGCAGGCTCCCAGTGACCAGCTCTGCCAGGTGGGTGATCTTGGGCGGGTCTGAACTCCCATGTGGAGCCTCAGTTTGCTCATCTGTAAATGGGGCTGGCCACAGTGTGATGAGGATTCGTGGTAACGTGTGTGAAGGTCTGATAAACCTAGCAGGCCCTCCTGTGTCATCATTACTAGGTAAGGGACTCAGTGGCTTTGCTATTTCCTCACTCCACCCAGAGATTGAGCCTCCCGAGCCAGGGACCCCCCACCCCCACCCCCAGCACTGAACAGGGATCAGAGACAGACGGTTGACTCAGAGGCACGGGGAACTGGGAGCAGGGCCGGGCACCTGCAGACACAGGCGTGGCCTCCTAGGTTTTGCAACTGGGGAGCAGGGAGCACTAGACTTGCAGAGGTGTGGGCAGGAGACAGGAACCCTGAGAGGAAGTGCCACCTGCTAAGATTTGAAACTGCACCCCACCCTTCCCCTCCAGGGGAAATGCCGGAGGCTTCTAAAGGTTCTTGGAAAACTTCCATGACGTCATTCGTGTTCACATGAGCTCTTTTTTCATTGCTTAAGCCTCACCTGCGGGTATTTTCCCGTTGATTTTTAGAGAGAGTGAAAGGGAGGGGGAGAGACGGAGAGAGCGAAACATCGATGTGAGAGAGACACAGCCATTGGTTGCCTCGGAATTGAATCTGGGACCCCTCAGTCCGAGAGCCGGAGCTCTAACCACTGAGCATCCGGCGAGGGCCACAGGAGTTCTTCTCAGGAGCCGAGCTTCTGTTGTCACGCGGGTCACAAATCCCCCCCCTTGCCGGGCCGTTCCCTCAGCCTCTGTAGCCCCAGCAGCAGCGAGGAGCAGCGTCCAGCTGATGGCCGAGGGCCCCGCGGGCTCTGAGTCTTGTGAGGAGGACGGCGGGTCCCGCTAAGCCTTCGGAGACCTGGGGGCCACGCCAGAGGACGAGTCCCACGGGAAGGAACCGGCCCGAGGGAGTGGCGGGCGTGGGACCGCGAGACCCTGGGAACCCAGAGCTCCGTGGGGTGAGCAGAGAGAAATGCCTGGAGAGTCGCTATGCGGGTGGCCGGCCGGGGTGTGCGGCTCCATCTGAGGGACCAGAGCGGGGCTGTGAGGTGCGTGTGTCCCCGCCCAGCCCTCGGGTGGGCACCAGCACAGCGCCCTTTCTGGAGCCAAGAGCGAAGCCCAGCTGAGAGGCCCTTTGGCATCACCTGGCCTTTGGCATCACCTGGCCCCTTCCTCAGGCGGCTATGGAATCAGCTGCGTGAGGAAGCGTGTAACTGAGGGCAGCTGGGGCCCCAGGGCCTTACTCTGCAGGGAGGGATGTGGTGTGACTCAGACTCCAAGTTCTCGGGTCCTAGCCAGTCCCCCCAAATCCCTTTGTTGAAGCCCTAAACCCAGTGTGATGGCGTTTGCGGTGAGGCCTTTGGAGGGAGAGTTAGACGAGGGCATGGAGCAGGACCCTCACGAGGGACCAGTGGCCCCGCGAGAAGAGGCAGAGCTCTCCCCGCCCCCACGTGCGGAGGAGAGGCCGTGTGAATTCAATCCACAGCGAGAAGACGGCCGCGGACAAGCCAGGAGAGCTCACCAGGAGCGAGTGGGCCGCCCCGGGCCTGGGACCCCCAGCCTCCCGAACGGTGAGTAATCCGTGTCTGTGTTGGGTCTGTGTTCTGTCACAGCACGTGGGCCGAGGCTGCCCCTCCATTCACTCGCACACGCTGGCTCAGTGCCTCCTCCGTGCAGTGCCGTGCCGGCCACCGGGGAGGGTCCCTGGGCAGTGACTGTGCCTGGAAGGGCATGTGGGAGGCTGGAGGCCAGGTGATGGCAGAACCCACGAGGCTTCCTGGGGTCTCAGCTGAGGACGGTGGTTGGGCCGGTGTCCTCAGGCCCCTTGTTGCGTGTGAAGAGGCAGCCCCACCATGACCGGGGTAGGAAACCCGGACAGAGAAACAGTGGCTCCCCGAGTCTGGGCCCAGAGACCCTCCTGGGGTTTTCGAGGCTCAGGCTGCCCGCCCACCGGTGACGCAGAGGAAGAAATGAGGTGGGGGGGCCATGCGGCTGGGCCCCCAGATCACCGTCAGCTGCGTGAGGAAGCGTGTCACTGAGGGCAGCCGGGACCCAGGACGGTGCTCTGCAGGGAGGGATGTAACGTGATTCATATGCAAAGCTCTCGGGCCCCAGCTGGTTTGGCTCAGTGGATAGAGCGTCGGCCTACGGACCCAAAGGTCCTGGTTTGATTCCGGTCAAGGGCACGTATGTCCCTCAGTTGCAGGCTCCTCCCTGGCCAGGTCCTGGTCAGGGCTCATGTAGGAGGAACCAATCAATGTGTTTCTCTCACTCAGACGTTTCGCTCTGTCTTTCCCCGTTCTCTTCCACTCTCTCTAAAAATCAATGGGAAAATGTCCTTGGGTGAGGATTAATGAGAAAACCACCACCACCGCCAGAGAAGCTCTCAGGCAGCTCTGTGGGGTCAGGATGATGGAAGCGTGGAATCAATGGGAAAATACCTTGGGTGAGGATTAACGAGAAAACCACCACCACCGCCAGAGAAGCTTTCAGGCAGCTCTGTGGGGTCAGGATGATGGCGGCGTGAGCCATGGTAGCCGCGGGGTGACGGGAAGTGGCCTGGCCCCAGACGTATGTGGGAGGTGGAACTGCTAAGAGCCTCACCTGAGGGACCCACTTCACACAAGGTCAGAGTGACGGGCAGATGTCAGTCAGATGGGGGAGGAGCAGCAGACCCAGGTGCCCTCTGACCGGTGGCCGCAGGTGTTGGACGGCTCGGGAGACCATGTTGTGGGGCGGGCAGGGTTAAGTGCAGGTAGAGGAGGAGGAGAATAGGACTCAGTGGCCTGGAAGCCCAGGGGAGAGAAAGGCTGAGGACAGCCACCTCCAATACCACTGGGAGAGCCCACGGCAGCCCACGGACCGGCCACAGCAGCGAGGCACCGAGGGAGCGCGCCATGGGGACAGGGACCAGAACAAGGGGGGAACCAGTAGAAAAGGGCAGGGCCGCAGCTGGAAGGGACCCATCTTAATGGTCAGGGTGGCGTTGGTTGGCATATAACTTCCGGGTGCACACTGTGCCTCTGTGAACCCTGGTGCACGCTCACCACCCCCAGTCCCGGCTCCTCGTCACCTGGATCCACGCCCTCGTCCTGCCCCCACCCGGGTAACCGCCGGGCTGCTGCGTTTCTCTTGTTGCTTTACGTCCCTCAGGTAAGAGGAACCATGTGGTTCGCGTCCTTCCCGTCCGACTTGATTAGCGTGAAACTCTCATGACGTGGGTAGTAGCACGCGGCAGTGCCATGTTTCGTGTTTTATGGCTGCGTAGTAGTCTGCTATCCGTATGTCCACCTTCACCCACTCACTCCTCGGGCCAGGAGTTGGGTTGCTCTAAGGCAGTGACAAAGCCTGATGCAGGCCACGGGGCTCAGCAGGATGGGGAGCAATTCATGGAGAAGGCAGAGCGGGTCCCAGGAATGTGCAAGCAGCAGTGGGCCCAGGGCAGGAGGGAAGGGGTCAGGGTGCGGGGCACAGCGTGGCCTCCAGCCCCCCTTTCCCAGGGAAGTGAGTGGGGGCAACAGCTGGAAGGGAAAGGGAAGCAGGCGTGGCCTCCAGCCCCCCTTTCCCAGGGAAGTGAGTCGGGGCAGCGGCTGGAAGGGAAAGGAAAGCAGGCGGCTGCGGCGGGGCGCTGGGGGGCGATGCCCCCGGTTGAGATCGGAGATGAGAAACTGCAAGTGAAATGTCACTGCGGCGACTGTCAGCCGTGGGCTGGGGGGCATGAGTCACCACGCAGCGGCTGGCAGAGGCAGCCGGCTCGAGCTGACGGGAGGCCCTGCCGTTACCAGAGGACGTGTTTTCATAGATTTTATAAATCGCAGCCACACACACCAAACTTCAAGGAAAAGAAAATGACTTTTTGAATCTGCAGCCAAACACAGGAGGACCCAGCACGTAAACAAGAATTTATTTTCAGGACTGTGCCTTCGCTATAGATTAAAATTAATAATTTAGTCCACGCAGACGACACGGGAGGCTCTGTGGGAGGGACGGCGGCCGCGGCCGGGCTCAGGACGCTCAGGCCTGCGCGGAGACCAGCTTGCTCAGTCCGGAGAAGTAGGACCGCTCGCGCTCGCTCATCACCTCGAAGTGCAGCGGCCGCCTGCAGAAGTTGCACTCGGCCGAGGAATGTGGCTTCAGGTCCAGCCCCACGCGCTTCCACGTGGCCAGCAGACACTGGCAGACAGTCAGTGAGGATTAGGAGGAAAA